AATCACTGAATTCCCCGCATGGGGTTCGAACCTTAATCAAATGATATTTGGGCATGTAGGGATAATAACGACAGAAAATAAAGAATCATTCCCCAAAAAAGCTTCGCGTGTTGTACACGAAATAGAAAACGTGTATCATCGAGGAAACGGGAAAACTAACAACATAGATCTTCGCGCGGCGGTGTGGCTCATCGTGCTGAAAGTTAGGAATACGCTCGCCACCGCACATCTGATTACTCTATGTGGGTTCGCAGGTTCGAATCCCATGCGGAGATTACGGTTGCCGTAATTACGGTTACTGTAAATAAATGAATGCAAAAATAAACTAAAAATTGGAAAATGTACAATTTGTGCCAAGTAGATCTTAGTATTTAACAAAAAACTCGGTATTTGAGTTTTTATTATGATTTTGCCGCTTCAAGAAGATCTTTGTTAGTTTTCACAAAGTTTGTAATCTTTACGAAGATCCTCGGGCAGACACTGAACGTTTGTTCTTATCATGAAGCAAGGGTGGACGAGGCCTGATTCAAATTGAGGAAAGTTACAAAAGCATTTACTGCAGGACTGAAAATATACTCGACCGTAACAGAAGACCCACTAATGCGCATCGTGCGAGATTTCGATAAAAATAGGCGTTTTGACTCAATCTTCAATAAAACTGAAGAATTTATGAGGAAAACTGGTGTAACTAATTTCTTAACTGAGAAAAAAAGTGCACACAAGATGGCAAAAGATGTCAAACTCAAGTATAAAAAAGAAATTGGAAAGCATAGACTAAAAATTTGGCATGATAAATCATTGCATGGAAAATACCCCACTAGAATATGTGCTCTGGATGTAAATGAACAACAAACGCATAAATGGCTAAAAATTTCAGGTCTGAAACCCACAACGGAAGGATTTAAATTTGCTGCTCTAGACCAAAATCTCCCGACCAACGCTCACAAAGCATAAAACGAGAATATCGGTCAGAGACCGAAAACTTATCGCTAATCATCACTAATTAATTAATAACTCACTAATTATACGACATAATTCGCCCAAAATCAATAGGCTTCTGGTCCGAGATATGATGAATACACATGCAAAATCTGGAGCAGATTCAATCGCTTTCGTGAGATATCGCGTGCATCTAACAGACAGACAGACAGACAGACAAATACCTATCAACATACTTACCGATTGAAATCGATAAGTAATAATGAAACTAAACATTAATCCAAATTGCGGAATATGCCAATCGTTTGATGAAACCGTTGACCACATTGTATCCGGGTGCAGGGTTTTGGCACCGACAGAATATACAGAAAGGCATAACAAAACCGCATCTTACTTACATTGGAAAATTTGCAAACACTACCAAATACCTACAGAAGACAGGTGGTACAATCACAAGCCTGCATCGGTAACAGAAAATGAAAATGTAACAATTTTGTGGGTTTTCACTGTTCACACTGGCAAAACTATAGGAGCAAATCGACCTGATATTATAGTAAAAGATTTCACAAACAAATCCTGTCTAATAATTGATGTGGCTATATCATCCGAAAGAAACACCTCTAAAAAAATATTCGAAAAACTCTCAAAATACAAAGATCTAGAAATAGAGATACAACAGATGTGGGGACTCAAAACTTCAACAGTACCGGCGGTGGTGGGGGCGCTTGGGCTTATCGGAAAAGAATTTGAAAAATATTCTCAACATATTCCAGGAAAAATTATTGCAGAATAGCTCCAAAAAAGTTCCGTTCTTCTTGGAACAGCTCACATCTTGCGTAAAGTAGGCTACTTTCTATCAATTGATGACATCAGGAACTTGGAAAGTTCCCGGTCGCCAGAATAGAAGGTTAAAATAATAACATAAAAAAGAAACTAAGAAATAATAATAATGAACTCTCGCTAAGACAAGAACTGTCAGCAAGGCGTCCTAAAACAGCCGGCTATGCGAGACTGAAAACTGACTGAGTAATGAAATCCTGCTCATAAAAGAGCCTCATGCTAACATGCATTACGGTATGAATTAAAAACAAGAAACACAAAATTTTGTTACAAACCGCAACTTTATTGACTAAATTTTTCAACAAATCTCACCGTGACCGGTTTAAGTTTATGATCGACTCAAATTAAGGTGACTGCTGTATAGAATGTTATCATCCCTTTTGCAATTGTTCAGCTTATTACTTATCGATTTTAATCGGTAAGTATGTTGATAGGTATTTGTCTGTTTGTCTGTCGCTAGGCTAGACGTCAATTTCGTGACCGTCCCGGCCATTCCGGGACGGTTGGTAGTAGGGATGGGCCGGGATTCGGATCCGGACTCGGATTCGAGTCGAATCCAGGCATATTTTGGACTCGGATTCGATTTCGAGTCCACGTCATTTTTACCGAGTCTACAATCAATTCTGTTTTTACTAATATACATCTATATTTGTACTTTAGCCTCTATATATCTCACTACATACCCAAACTAGTTAAAACTTAAGGTTAGATCTGTAACAATATCCCCCGTGTGTATAATAAACACTCCTAATAAAAACGACGACGTATATCCAGATAATATAACGCAAGTTAAAAATAGCTTATGACAATGATGTTGCGCCAATCGCCTTTAAACTATCTATCCTTTTTGGTATGCATGTGGTACACAATAAAATATGTGTTAGCGCAATATTTTTGAGTTTTTGATTCGCGTAAAAATGAAACATGCTCTTGATTAACCAAATGGAGAATCTCACCAATACCTCTTTTGAATCCAGTTTATTACGTGCAATCCTTTCTCTAAAAAGGGAGCAATGGGAAGCATGGAGAGTATTAGAACGTTTACATGAACTACTAAATTGCAAGCAGATGTACCACATTGTATTGACAACGAGTGACATTTCTCTACCATTTGCGCACGCGACATAGTAAGTTTACGGCTAGAAATATCTGGAATTATGGGAAAGCATTATAGTCAAAAGCTTTTTGTCTTTCATACTGACATGTAAGAATTTCCACGTTTACATTTGTATTATGGCCGCCAAAAAGAGGAAAAATATATTTTTAAAATGATTCAACAGCTATCTGCGGAACCATTGGGCAAAAAATATGAGCTACGACGTATGTTTGTGAGCGCTCGATCTGGTAGCATGGTCAAAAACGTGTTTTGTCGCTATATTGCATTGGGACGTCACGGACTCGGAGGATTCGATTCGAGTCTTTAACCTATTACTCGGATTCGTCGAATCCCTGTAATGCCGGACTCGTCCCATCCCTAGTTGGTAGCCCTGGTGGGGATGGTTATGTGCGAGAAAATTTCTGGACTCCTCGCCGCCGTTGTGTGGTTCACGTAACCGCTGGTCGGTTACGGCTTCCTCTACCATCAAATCCATGCTTCCGGAAACAAATAACTAACTAATCCCATACCCGACATGGAATGGTAACCGGACGAAAATTAACAGAATTGTGTTAAACCGTAAATAAATACAAATACGGGTAAACCGTAAATAAATACTAATGAATAAACATAACTAAATATGATCCAATATCTCACATACTGTCTTCATTACGAAAATTTTATTGTTTTTTTCATTTTGAATGCTGTGTATATGAATCAATAAATTTAGTATTCCCCCTAATAATTTGGCGCTGCACGAACCAAAAGTTGAGAACCGCTGGTGTAGGCAATTACCATCTGGCAACGGAGTTCAGTTATTTTTTTTATTGCCCCTAACGAATATTTTGGAAAATAAGAAGTAGAAAAATTAAACGTACTAAAAAGGTATTTTACGTTCTCCGCAATTAATCAACTAAAATTTCTGCTGTCATCGAATGGAGTTTTAACGATCGGAGCAAATTTGTTCGTTGCCAAAAAGCCGTATCGAAGGAAACGACCCCGAAGGAAACGATTTGAAAAAAAAAACTAACTGTAAAGAAACTCAAAAAACACAAATGAAGCTAAATATTACGTGTCTTTAATTGTTTATTTATTCAATTTCTATTTATAATTTATTCTAGTTTCTAATTGTTTTCTCCATTCACCTATGCAGTTCTTCGCTTTTTTTAAGTTGTGTATATCAAGTCGTTTCTTTTCCACTTCCTGTTAGTTTTTAATACTCATTTATTACATGCTTATCCATGTTTTTTCCGAGTCTTATAATCCTGGATTGGTATTGTATAGTTTTGAGCTGTACATAAACAGCACTTATATCAGGACTGAGGCCAATACTGGTATTCGATTTCATGAAATCGATGCACATGAATGATAAACGTTTATATCGTTACGACAATTTTTTTCATGGTATGGGAGAGAATTCCACTCTTTTTCAATCAGCTTTCAACTGCATCGAAGTCACTAGCATCATGCTTCATCGTTACTCCTGATTACTGTAGTTTTCAATTCATTGAGTTAATAAAGCTTTTCTTGTAGCATCTAGTTCTCGAATACCACCTAAAACATACTTTGGTTCAGGCGCTTTCAAAAGTGAACTGCAGTAACAAGACAGTCAACTAGCGTGTTGTTGAGTGTTATTAACATTTAAACGATATACTATATTCTCCCGTTGATAGATTGAATTAAAGCCGGTTTTACTATTTATGTTTATCACCGATGTTAGTATGTTTTTGCATTAGTTCGTGACTTGGCGGGTCACCAATAATATAGTGAGCCGCTTTGTGACCCGGGAAGCAGCAATAACTGTTCCATATAGCAATGCCACTCTAAGATATTTTCTGTGTGTTTTTTTTTTTTAAATATTCCTAATCTCGAAAAAACACGGGATATTTGAGTAGAATTTCAAGGAAATCCCGATTCCGAAATTCAGTCCCGAAATTTTAACACTACTATTTACAACCATGATATACCAACTATATTTCTTACGCCATGTCGCCATCCCTACACTCTATAAATGAGCTCAACACTTCGAACGAAAAATATGGAGAAAGACCGGAAAGGGCAAAAATGACAGGAGTGGAAGGTGCAGAATGGAAAGGATAAATTGATTTTATTCTATGATATCACTATGACGCGTAAAGCCCCATCTCAAAACGAAAAAAATGGGAATGTAAAAAGACATACTACGGTAAATCAAAAAATACCTATTTTATCATGTGATATTTCATTGTATTGCATACATGAAATTATTCAAAGATTTCGAAAAAGTGAGGAGGACCCGGGCGACAATAAATCTTTCATGGGTTTATTAGACATTATTGCGTTCGGTTTTAAAAACACAACACAGTATTTTACAGACCACAATGCGCACCAGATTAAAAGGCGTACTGACAATAAATTGCCTAGATTGGGTTTTTAAAACAATAGTTTCGAGTGTAAGCAAAAACGAATAAAACACTAACTGATTTATACAATAATTAAGCGCACCGCCTTATGAGGCGCACGGTCGATTTTTGAGAAGAAAAAGATTTAAATTAAGATAAGGTAAGATTCCGCGGTTTAACAGGTTGTGTGGGCCTACTTGGAAATGAAGTACTATATAGAAACGTATAGATTTGAGCAAAAATAAAGTATATACTTTTCATGTGTACACTTTGTACAACATTTATTCAAAAAAGTACAGTCTGTAGTATTAATTTATGTTTCAGCGTGAGTGTATTTCTATCCATGTTGGTCAAGCCGGAGTCCAGATTGGAAATGCTTGCTGGAGTCAGAAAGATGATCATGTCAAAGGAACAGCCTCAACAGGAGATGATGACTCGTTCAATACATTTTTCAGTGAGACTAGATCTGGGAAGCATGTTCCACGAGCGGTCTTTGTGGACTTGGAACCAACCGTTGTTGGCAAGAGAACCTGTATAACGCATCAACTCTATAAAAGTTCAGTTTATCACTAAATCTAACCTATTACTTTTAGATGAGATTCGTACCAGCGATTATCGACATTTATTTCATCCCGAGCAGCTTATAACTGGTAAAGAAGACGCCGCGAACAACTACGCAAGAGGGCACTATACCATAGGTAATGTCCTTTTCGTTTTTATTTCAAATCATGCATCCTGTATGAACATAATACGTTATTTAAAAGGAAAGAATTGGTGGATTTGGTTTTGGACCGAATTAGAAAACTTACGGACCAGTGCAGTGATTCTCAAACTAGGGTTTGAGAGCCGTATGCGGCTCTCAACAACCTTTCCTGCGGCTCTCGTTAATGCTTCAAAAATTAATTATTTTCAGAGAAAATTTTTCATTGAAAACTAATCATTGACTCGAAATTAAAATGCTGAAGTCTATTAGTTAGTCGAATGAATTTCCCCGTGTTTATTTGCGTAGCGTTGACTAACCTACAAGATGCAATAGTGACGCAACAGTAAGCGTTTCTCGGACACTCGTATACTTTTCACTTGGCAAGATTTTAGACATGGCTGTATTCATTGGCTTGCTTCCGTGGATTTTCAGTGTTTGTCGCATTCCCGGATATTATTTATAAATCAAATAACTCAATGATAATTTTAATCCTAGAGCATTTTAATTTTGTTCCAGTAATCGAAAATAGTCCCGAAATATCAGGCGATCATCTCAAGCAGTTACTGCACTTTGCAACCTCCGCGATTACGACCCGCTTTGACAAACTTATTAGAAATCAAAGCCAAATTAAATGGCTGTTAGTCTAGGGTGGGCAAAATTTAATCTTTTTTGAAATCGAATAATTTGAATATTTTTTCTATACATAACAGGGATCCAGAAAGTCGGAGTTCGATACACCATTTAGAAATTGATAGAAACATTGAAAAGTCGGCAAAAAAGCATTTTTTTATTGGTTAATGGTTAACTTTATCATAATCGCTAATTGTCTTTGTCACCGCGATCGTTTTGGCGGCGATATCCTAAAGTTTGTATTCTATATTCCCGCCCTTTCTCGTTTTTTGCAAGAATAAGCGGTCGCCGAATATCGAAGTTTCATATTTCTAGTATACCCTTGCGTTCACATCAGCGACAGCTGTTGAATACATTAAGGGCTGATTTTCTAAACCAAATTAATTTTATTCTGAGTTTTATTCCCTGTCTTGCATTTAATCTTCCTTATCAAGGCTTGTAAAACACCATGGCTGTTTAAAGTGAACTGTAACCGAGATGCAGATATTTATTAAAACGATACTTGAGTTTCTCGTGCTTTCCTATGGTGTTCGTGTTATTTTAGTATTAGATAGATAAACCTAGCAAATTTACGATTGCGTGAATCCTGAATGTTGATTTAAAAAAAGCAAATAAAAAAATTGGCAATAAAGGCATTCCTAGGCCTTTGTGCCTAATCGAGGGTCAGACGCTAATTATACCTAATTCTCTAAAGTTTTAAGTTTTTTTTTTCAACAAAACAACACCCCGATGGTTATTATAGCTAAAATACTTACTGAGTAATGCTTAATTTTCTTTACGGAATTTGCAAATTCAGCACCTCACTTCGTGAACGAGTCAGTGTGCATTGTCACAACGAAATTCACGATTAATTTTACGTTTTACTCTTGGCTCAGCGGCCATGTATGGTCGAGTACAATGTTACATATTCGAAACATCACTTGGCCAAGGATGGAAGGGATCACTAAAGAGCTAATACAAAGTGCTTTAAAGGGAGTAGGCCATGACATTTCTTATCTGGTTACAATTTAATGAGTGTTTTTCATACAAGTAACTCATACCATCTTTTGGAAAAACTTCTGGTCATTATTAAATCCATGCTATTTACATAACTAGAATTTTCCAACGATCTAAAATCGCCTTTTTCACAATGAAACACCGAAAAGTCATTTTAACATTTATTTTCAATCAACTTTATGTTCGGTAATGCAAGAAATGGCTAATGATATGTCACCAAGCATGCGGAGTTTAAAATCTTGGAAATTTATTTTAAATACCTAATCTGATTTGACGTTTCTAAATTTACGGAACGGTCGATACGTTTTTTTTGCAAAATAATGTATTGAAACCATACGTTAAGGGCAAAGATAAGCATATAACACCATAACGCAAAAACAACGACTTTTCAAATTTGTCTTTTTTTTTTCTGATAGCGAGCGGCGTAGGGAAATCTCGCACAATTCACGATTGAGTTGGAGACGCGTGAGTTCGGTGTCCAAGCAGATCGGCGCAGGTCACGTGGTACCGGATATTCGAATAGTAAAATGGCATTCGAATATTTTATTATTCGAGTATTTTGCCCAGCTCTAGTTGTTAGGGGTGTTGTGGTTACGAGGACTTGTTATTTTAAATACGCGCTTAAGGTTTGTTGTTATTTTACCTTGCGTTGCTTGTGTGCGCTCTTCACAGCTTTGAGGTTTGAAATGACGCTCTGAGACTAAAAAAGTTTGAGAACCACTGGACCAGTGCATCTGGTTACAAGGATTTCTCATTTTCCACTCCTTTGGTGGTGGAACTGGCTCCGGTTTTGCTTCTTTGTTGATGAAAAGACTTTCTGTAGAATATGCAAAGAAGTCGAAACTGGAATTTGCGGTTTATCCTGCTCCTCAAGTAGGCGTTTTGTCATCAATCAGAAAATAAATTGAAAGTATAGTGCAGTTCAGTAGAGGGCTGTTGACAAACACAAAAGTATCTTTTGAATTTCAGGTTTCAACAGCAGTGGTAGATCCGTACAATTCAATTTTGACGACGCACACCACCCTTGAGCATTCCGACTGCGCCTTCATGGTTGATAATGAGGCGCTATACGACATTTGTCGCCGCAATTTGGACATTGACAGACCGAGCTATACCAACCTGAACAGATTAGTGGGGCAGATAGTTTCATCCCTCACCGCGTCATTAAGATTTGACGGAGCCCTCAATGCGGATTTGACCGCATTTCAGACCAACTTGGTGCCATATCCACGAATTCATTTTCCGCTGGTGACTTGACGCTCCGGTGATATCAGCAGAAAAAGCATCCCGCGAACAACATTCCGTAGCGGAAATTACAAATGCTTGCTTTGAACCCTCCAATCAAATGGTCAAATGCGATCCTCATCGGGGAAAATATATGTCTTGCTGCATGCTATATAGAGGAGATGTTGTTTCTAAGGATGTGAACGCGGCTATCCTTAACGTCAAAACTAAGCGAACCATACAAGTGAACTGGTTTCTGTAGATTTCATTGAAGAACCGATGACTACTCAAAAACGTTTGATAACTAATCAGAAGTTTTTGCCAAAATCAATAGAGCAATTCACAAAACTGTAGTTAAATTCTGCATTGTTTAATTTAGCCAAAAGACTGTCTTTGTTGGAGAGTCCTTTTTTTGCATTTTAAAGTCAAGTTCTTAACGATTCAAAAAAACTAAATTATATTTTATTGCATGAACACTGAACGGGCTATGGGCTCCCTCGTTACTTTTTTCTTGGGCATTCTTGTGATCTTCTTCGTAAAGTAAATTGCCATTCAATGTCGCAATGAATAATGTTATTATTATTTTTTTTAATGGATCCACAACGTCTATTATTCAATAAGTAAATAATAAATAAATTGAATATAAATAAAGACATATTGTGTACCAAAAGTGAACAAACATATATATATCAGTGATATCAAGGTAATTCCATCAGATGTAATATTCCATATAATTATTATTATATTATTATTTGTCGGCATCAACTACAAAGCTCCAACAGTAGTCCCAGGTGGAGATTTAGCAAAGGTGCAGAGGGCAGTTTGCATGCTCAGCAATACAACCGCAATATCAGAAGCCTGGGCTAGACTCGATCACAAATTTGACCTGATGTATGCAAAGCGCGCTTTCGTACACTGGTAAGCAAACCCTAAATGTGGTGAATTGGCACTAAAAATCTAGCTTGAACCTATATAATTAAGCCCATATATATATATGTAATTTGATTCTTCATAACCATATAAGGGCAGGGTAAAACATCTGACGTCAATCATCGATTGCTGGTCTTACCCTTTAAAAATAATCAAATGATTTTGCAATTTTACTTCCCTGTGCACCGCGGTGGCAGGCTTGTGCATAGGCGGAACCAATTTTTTGGAAAGATTTTGCGGCAGAAACAGTGAGGTACAAACCCATGCATCTTTTTCAAAACTATTTCGCTCTATTTGCGAGCGATTCAATGAAAATCCGACCTTTTTGGCGTAGGCTACCACCAGTCCTTTCTCCAAATGAACCATCTGAGATAGAAGAAATTTTGTGCTTGCATATCTTGGATAACTTCGAGCGAAATAAGTTTCTGGAGAGATTTTTTAATATATCGTTAACCATCAGACGCTTTTGGCCTTGTTTGCGAGTTGTATCATATAATATTGGCGACTTTAATTTTATGAGAAATTTTATTTAATATAATTTAAGGTACGTTGGAGAAGGCATGGAGGAAGGAGAGTTCTCAGAAGCTCGTGAGGATCTAGCAGCATTGGAAAAAGACTACGAGGAGGTTGGTGTAGATTCCCCAGAAGGTGCCGGTGATGAAGATGATGAATATTAGTCCACCGGCCTCGGCCGGCTCCTATATACATGCGGCAGCCGTCAAGCCATATTTATAGTTACTCGAGATTATACCTGAACGTTGAACTCTTGCGATTTTTGAGTTGTCTTCTACCAGTTGAGTTCGCACTTAGCCTACATATTAATCCCGGGGAGAGGAAAGTCGATAAGACGGCTTAATTAATCATATGGCGGACCACGGCCTCTCGTCCGGGTCTGGTTACCTATCCAAGTCTGGCATTGGATTAGTTGGCCGGTTATTTGCTTTCGGGAGCATGGACATGAATGGAAAGCTCAAACATCTGAAATTGACTATAATTGATCTAGGTCAGGGTGGTCCAAGGTTGCTGCGAGGTTAGGGCGGCAAAAACTTTTGAGTGGGTCTCGCAGGCCGCAGTCAGAGAAAACCCAAAAGTGATGGAAATATCTCGAGTTTACTCCCTTCAAATATATTTAAGAATGAGAGTTTATCGTCCTAATCAGTTTTTCAAGTAAACTATATAAAGCCTTTAGTTATTTTAAAATTGCTTTCTAAAACTATCGTGGTATTTTCGGTATCATTTCTCGTGTTTGGTTTTGTAATGTCGCTTCAAATTATATTCTTTCGTGACAGATATTACTTGAAAACACACCAGACACTGTGGTTTAACGTTGTCAGGATAGGATTTACATATTAACCGACCAGCGGTTACGTGAACCACCCAACGACGGCGAGGAGTCCAGCAATCCTCTCGCACATAATCATCCCTGCATGGGATTCGAACCTGCGAACCCACGCAGAGTAATTAGAGGTGCGGTGGCGAGCGTATTCCTAACGCTTAGTCCGTTGAGCCACACCGCCGCGCCGTTGTGCGTGGGTAAGGAAATACGTTTACTCTCAGTTTTCTTCGGTCACCTTTTTTTCTACACCCATTGTATGATGAATTTATTACTTGTAGCATGAGCAGGCCTAGTGCCACCGTCAAAAAAGAACCAAGTCCGTCTAAGTTGGGACTTCTGACCCAGAGCAAAAAAAACTGGATCGCGCGGCGTTAAGTCAACTCTGCGGTTCGTCACTGCTGTCACGAGGCCAACGCTTGAAATTAGAGGAGTGTTTTGACTAAAATAAAGGCACGTCTCTTTTCAAATGAGAAGCTACTTGACACAAGCTCATCTCATCAGCTTGGTCCTGTCTGCATAAGACAATTCATTTTCCTTTTACCGATCACAGGATGTCATTCCCATATAGCCACCGTCTTGACGTTCACACAACAACGAAATTCCGTGATTTTAACAAACACCAATCCCGACATCCGGATCAGGAAAAGAACTATTCCCAGTTGAAATATTTTAAAAATAAATCAAAATTGTTCTGCTAATAAGTACAAATATCTGCCAATGGTTTATTAGTGTACGCTAAAATTGTTCTGTGGGCCACACGTAATGTGGCGGGCTGCAGTTTGGACCTTACTGATCTAGGTAATCCTTGATTTCAAGAATGGGTTAAAATAGTTTCATTTAAAAAGTTGTATTATTTTCCGTTCGACGTCTGATGATAAGACAAAAAAAGATATCAGTTAATTTACTACAATCTAAAATTGTAAAAATCAATCAAAATATAGTTTATACATCACCTATTTCTGCATTGCCATTCGCCCAATGTCTCTGCGGAAGACCTTGGGGATGCCCCGAGGATATTAGTCACAGCGACAATCCCAATTTGTTTCGGTGCTTCCCCTCGGGCGGTATCGACAAAAGTTGATTACGAGACCTCTTTCTAGATTCTTCGATATTTCGAAATTGTACAGTAAGCGGTTTCAGAGCAAATAACATGAGACAGTTCTCTCGCCACACGACCACACCAGTTTAAACATAACAAGTAAACATTCCTTCAATTTATTGTTATCAAAATCATTACCAAAATACTTTTCAATAAATTAACATTGTTCCGAGTGACCCAGAAAGGATATCATAGCATTATCATGTACAGATTGAATACACAAGAGCAAAAATCATTAAAAGTTAAATTTTTTTGTTAATTTAAACTTTTTTTTTTTTTTTTGGGGGAATTTTCTGACATTGCAATGCTACGATATATACAACTATGTGAAAAAGAAAAAAAAGTAAAAGGAAAGATTCAGTAATGAAACTTGGTGGTGTGATAGGGCAATAGGGAAATGAGAGTCAAATGGAACAATATAAATAACTGGAACCGGAAATCCAAGTTGGCAAATAAATATCAAAGTCAGAAAACAAATTTCTACAATATGTTACTAAATAATGACCGAAATAATTCTAAATTTCCGAAGAAGGCGTTATGAAGATCACCTCCAATAGTAAATGTCAATGCATTGGACATTCTCTGGCTTCACATGTCCAAAACTTGAATAAAAGCTACAACATTATGTCATTACATAATTCATGTCGTCATGAAAATATCATAACTATGAAAACAAGCTCAAAACTTCACCCATCTCAAAACTCCTTCAATCTCACACATTATACATTATGGTAACTAACAGATTGGCAAGATCATAGTATTGATTGATATCATGATCTCTTGCTATTCCTCTTGTGAATAAAGCCCGTTTATGATTCTTTACAAAACCTTGCAACCTCTTCCACAGCCGTTGTGAAAAGATTCTGCAAATAGGTTTTCAGTTATCGAGAGTTATTTTGGGTCATGACTGTCAATATGGACTGCTTCATTCTTTTGCACTCCACTTCCAGCTCTTCAATCGTCACTCGAAGGCTGGCATTCTCTTCTGTGAATCGGTTTACCTCATGCTCCATCTCAACCTTTTTGCTTTTGCGTCGTTTTCGTGACTGCCTACAGGCTTCATTATTTCTCTCCCTTCTGGCAGCAAGAGGATCACATTCGTTGAGATTTTTGGAAGTGTTTGGACTTGAGTTTTCTTTCACACAAAGTGGAGATGTGCATGACTTCGGGGATGTCCTAAGTTGTTCATCAATACTTGGTACGTTCACAGCTGGTTCAGACAGGGGAGCTTCAACAGCTAAAACTTCAATGTTCAGAGTTTGAAATGTTTGGGCATCAGGTTTCGGGAGGGCATTCAGGCAATCTTGCAACATTTCAGAAGCATCCAGACTGTTTGATGGCATAGAATCTGTGATGAGATCACTGAAGTTGCTCGGCTGCCTTGACATTGACCAAACAGGTGGCTGCAAAAGTGCCTGTGTGGGTGTTTCGGAAGTGGTGATGACTTCTTGAGTAACAGGAGACTGAACATTCTGTGAATCTCCATTGTTGCAATTGTTGTTATTGGATTGATTTGATTCTGGAATTACAATAAAACATTTAAAAATCTATGACCACAAAATACTGCTGAACAAGACAAAAAAAAATAATGAGCTATGATAGAATTTACCTGTAGCTGGTGATCCTTCACACTGAACAAGAATGGGACCAACTTCGCCACAAAATATATGGTAGAATTCTTCTCCTTGAGAAGCTGTTAAAACTTCAGCATCACTGTTGTTGGAATTGAAATGAGCTGTGAAACTGGGAGATGGATATGGAGGAAGACAAGAATCTTCTTCGAGGGGTTTGACATAATCTTCTTCTGGGAACAAGTTCATGGGCTGTGTGGAGATATTATTTGTGGTTCCAAGAACTTCTTCCACCATTGCAAGAGATGTCTGCCTATTTAAAGCAGGAGGACTACTACAAGACTGACCAAGAGGAATTGGATCTTCCTCTTGTGGAGTGTAAGGAGAATAAGTAAAAGCAGAACTGCTTGTGCTTAATAGTCTCTCACGTTGTTGTTCAAAATCAGAAAACATGTCAGGACTTCCAGGCATTTTTCCAACAAAACTATTGGGCGTTCCAATGCTAGGGTAGTAATTATCAGCCTCATATTCGGCAAAGGAACAAGGTGAGGCCATTTCTGGTGATAGACAGTTATCTTTACCGTTTTCCATTTCAGGTCCGTCAGGGGTCGGATCAAAGGAGGTGTCTGAAACAAACAATATGTTACTGCTAATATTCATTAGAAATAAGAGTATGTTGACTGGAAAAAAAATTTAGAAATACTCACCGGTACTGTTGGAACGGCTATCACTAAGAAGGCGGTTTGTTGAAGAATGTCCAAAGTCCGCAAAAGGCCTCATCGGCTGCGTGGCCTCGAAGGCCAGGGGTGAATCCACCCCATTGAGATTGCTTGTCGCATTCATGGAATTGAGTTGATCGTTTACTTGGTTCGCGAACCATCCTGCAATAAAAAAGGACTGATTAGTTAAATGGTTAAACCACCAAAGTAAGCTGTTATTAAAACAATAATTTAGCATTTCTATAGTCATGTTATAGACACTTACTATTGCGATAAAACTGAGCTCTTTGATCGATCATATTTTTTGACGAAAATGTAAACACGTCTATATCAATACCCATATATTTTCGTATAATAATAAGCTTCACACGGTCTAGCTTTCGAACTACCTGCCTCGGCAACAACCATAAAATTATGAAAGCGACGCGAACGTTTCACGATCGTATATAGAAATTCATGTTCTCTCGTTTAAGCAAAACGTTCACAACAAAGAATTAAAACTGCTTTCTTCTTGGAAAAATCTCTCGGATAGAAAAGAGTGGACCGGGCAAGAAAAAACCTGCCCAAAGTAAGTTAAAGAAACTAAAATGAAAAGGCAAAATACAGAAACTAGACACGTCACTTTAACATACGCGGAGGAGTTGACATCAGAATCACGAGATAAAAAAAGTGAGAGAGATCCCAAAGCATACACCAGGGAAATCCCCACAAAATGATCACTTTGCATTATAATATAATCAGCGTAGAATACACTAGAATCCCGTGAGAAGCTAGAGACAAAGTCGCGTACAGCTAAAGCCACGTACTCCTTATGGGGGCTCAATTTATTTACGATACGCAGATTTACTTTTGATATCTACTTAGTAATTATATTATTACCTATCTATATATAAAGATTTATATAAAATATACGATAGAAAGCTGATAGAAAACCAACCATATATTATACCATATGGGACAAAAGTGGGGTTAACAGTTATTAATGAATATCTAAGCGTGTATTCCAATTTGAGGTGTTGATATGTAAAATTAAATCAACAATTTTAAAGGCGGTGGCGCTAAAGGCTGCAAAGGCGTTAACAAAAAGAAACCTGAAGATAACGAAAACATAAACGAGGCAAACAAACCGAGAGATAGACAGGCGCCAACAAAAAAAAGGCGAAGGGATTGCACCAAAAAGGTCGAATATTGCGCAAGAACGTAAGTCGAAAATAGCTCTGGCATAACCACGAGAAAACGATTGCAAGCCGCATTGCCTAATAGCTTAAACACAGAAACAAAATTTGATTGTTACACTTCATAACACAGACACCCATGCCCCTCATAAAATTACCCGATACACGTTTGAATTACTTCTTACCGATACATATATATATATATTTAAAGTAGGGACAAAAATTTATTTTAAAATATTAACAAAAAAATATTCATTCACCTGGCAAAAGCCGGAGAAAAAGACTGTTGTATCATTTTACGTTCAAGGGATTTCCGAAGAAATCCGGTTTAGCGACGACGCATCATCCTGCGTGTGCTTTGAAATATGTAAAAATTATTGAAATAGTATCGATTACTATTTGAATGTTTTTTAATGTTCCACCAATGAGTTGTAGATTTTATTATGCAAGAGTTGACTTCTTCAATTGGCATCTCAGTCAAACGTAACAAATTTTGATAAAAGGCTTTCCGTCAATGAGCACACTTTATTGGTACCTTGCAAAATCCAAGGTAGGCCGATTATGATCTCGTGTATCCAATTTATACGGTACGAATACGATTTACAGATTTATAGTATGTTTCTTTAAATCAGTAAATTGTCAGTAATGCTACACAATATTATCTAAAAAATAAAACTTTATGCCATCATTCATGTACTTTCTTAGTCCCTATAAACGTACGTACACTAACTGCATTTGCAAAACTGATTCATCCCTGCACAGCCGCCATTGTATAACCTGACTGCGCAGGCCTTGCTGATCGCGGCCGAGTCGTACGAGACGCGATGCCTGTCTGACATGTACATGAGAGAACTGAAGAGACTACCATCAAATGTAAAAAAGGGACCGCGGCACGAAGAAAAACCCGTTGCCTGGAGACTAGTGACGTTTCAATCGCGTCAATAACAGTCTGAAATGTGATTGGGTGGTTCGAGATGATGCAACGTTTCGTTCAGAAATTCAGATAACTGATGTCATCAATTCGTGATATCACAGCCAATAGGAAATCTTTAAGCCGGGGGCGTGAAGGTCGCTCGCAAGGAAATAGTTTAAATAAAACTGCAAACTCATTGTCCAACACGGCTTTAAGCCACTCAAAAATTTGATTACGTAAAGTAGTGACATCACGGAAAAGTACCGAAACGTATCGCTAGATCACAAAAATTCACATTTACTAAGATGTTTTCCCCATACGTTTTCAAGTTAAGCACGCGATATTGAAACGGTGCTGGAATGTTGTTCCGAAATCAAAGAAGAGAATACTTCGCTGAAAACATCGTATGAAATGACAGGGGCCGTAATAACCAAACATAACGGGAATGAAAAATTCCGAAAATTTATAATTGAGAATAAGTACTAGAAATTATTTCATAAAAATAAAAGATAGTCAAACATGTATGTCATTTAAAAAATGAATAATTCTAACAGACCGTCAAAATATGGAGGGCAAGTTTTCTTTAAAATGCCTAGTCATTGCTCGCAATTTTAAACGGGAAAATATTTTCAGACGCGGTATTTTCAACATAATGAAACACGTGCGCTTGCACAACACAATGATCGATCAGTTTTGCATATTTGTCATTGCATGTCATTCACAGTCGCTCTAATAACTAATAACATTTAAAATTAGTAAATGTTGTACATGACCTAGCCAAAGCTATTCAACAGCTGAACCGTAAAACAAACAAATCGAAGTTTCGTGATAATACGGATGTATGACCAATAAAAATGCAAACCCATGCAGATTAATAACTTCAAATAAAACACAGTCAGCGCCCTCATACTCTATTTTAGAAAGACCACTTGGAGTCTTGGACCTAATTTGGATGAGCAAAGTATTGCAATCAAAAATATCATAGATATAGATAGACAATTGAATTTTCCATCTACTTATCCTAATTACAAAATAGGTTCGCACAGAATCCACAAAAATATTCAAATGATTCCAAGTGTTTGTAGCCAAGTTTTAAATTTCAAACAATGGTAAACGTACGACTTTTCACTATGTTTAAAAAAAAAAGGTTAACAATTGGCGGCGATTTATTTCAAATCGTCAATGACCGATTGGTATTATCAGAAAGTATACCAAACTCAACTTAACTTAACCTCTTAAAAGACGCGTATCTTCTACATTCGACTTCGTTTTCGACGCGATTGAATTTTTCAATTTGAAATTCTAAAGATAACTATTTGATATTTGGAAATTTCTCGGTTTCATTGAGTATAAGCATTAATTTTCCAGATTTATTATTGTACACCTCACCGCGTCTTTTGAATGCTTTTTCATGCTAGAATATCAATAAGATGAATCATATATGGCAACTCCAGAGACTAGGAATATATTATGCTTTAAGCAAAATCGTTCAGAATTAGAAGCAATCAAGAAATTGGAAGTAAGTTACCGTTCCGTTAATGCACGTCCAAAAGAATTTGAATGAAAATTATAACGCTAAGAGTATTGAAACTTTATTAAATCACAAAGATAAATGCGTATGTGGAAAGTCCCTGAATGTACTGTAGTCTATATGACATCATAACCAACATTTTGGGTAACATCCTTCTCTGTCAAAAAACTCAATCGAACGTCAATCGAAATTAATGAGATTTGCTCGATCAATTTTTCGAGAATTTATGGTTTATGAGCTTGCTCTGCCAATATTATTCTTATTGGATCTATATCTAATTTTGTAATGCAACTTATGTAATTTTCTGCGTCACAGCAACCAAAAAAACAAGGAGTTCAATATAGCTTCAGCGAAATTGAAACGTGGGACATGGGTGTGAATACTTGGACAACTTCTCCAAGGCAACCAATCATACCGCGATAAAAAAAAAAGCCGGTCCGCAATCCTGCCTGAACATGCCCGAAGGGGTCGACAAAAATGCTCGAGTTATTTTGGTGGTATGCGAAAACAAGTTTAAACCGGTCAGCGCCGGTCCGTTTCCGCCCACTCGATCTTTTGGAAATCACCTATTCCGTTTCCAAATTCCATTGTAAACGGTTGTTGTTCGATCACAGATGATCAAATTACACTCACGTCGGAAGGCTGGTGCTGTTACACAGATAGGTGCATACCAAATTAATTCGAATGACGCCTTCTGGGGAAAATGGCCGCAACCACAATCAATTGCCGACAGCAGGAATTATCACATTATATCAAGTTATCTGAAGATTAGGCTAAAATAAGGAGAAAATATCAGTATGTACGATAAAGATATAGTAAAACAAGCTGCCGACTGGTACACAGATACTGGTTACTCATTCACCACAAAACAAACTGACGTTCTGAAAGCTTCATCATAATCTTGACAAGTTAGAATCAATCAAAGAAATACCTACTGAGCTAGCACTGTCAGACACCTTCAAAAAGTTTCAAACTGCATAGTGTTATTAAGGGTATTTTTATCAAAAATTGTCAATTATATATTATAATATAAAATGAATATTTGTTTTGAAAACATAGTACTTATTTGTGTTCCATAACTGCACATTCTTGCCACAATATTTATTAAGCTGCAATAACAAAACCACAAACATTACATAAAAATTCAACTTACTAGGACTGTTCCTAGTGTTACTGCTGATTTGAACCCTTCACAAAGAGCCAGAGATTAAGTTTTAAAATATGTCCTAGGAATTATGTACTTTCACTTATTAAAATGTGCTTTCATTATTTAATTCACATTTATGCCTGAACAAATTTCTCCTCATAGGCATGGGTGGATCGCTAAACCAAAAAGAACTCAAGCATGTAATTTCTAATTTGGGGAGCATACATAAATGGCACTGTGTAAATCACTTGTATATCAAGTCAAGATACCGAAAACTCAGCAAAACAAGTTTTCATAATAGTCTCAACTTGCGATGTGAATTTCCCTTAAATTATTAACATTAGGCTATAATAAATGGAGCTTATTGCTACAATGCCACTTTCATTAGAGCAGGATTGTATACATAAAATCAGTTTTAACAATGCATATTAAAATTCTATACAGTTTTAACAGAGGAGTCCAGCTGTGTTTTTTAGTGCAGTTTCGATTACATAACACATAAAAACTCATACATTACCAAGACTAAACAATAAGCTACAATTCCAAACAACCTTATAGAACAATAGTTCTCAAACGGCGGCACACACCACAAAAGGGGGTGTAGACAATTTTTTGAGGAGGTGTGGCGCTACTTAATGAAAAATAAAACTATTTGTTAGATTTGTTCTCACACGCCTTATTTTCGGTATTTACATTTTTTTACTTTGGATATTTATGTTCCATCCACATATTTTCCATGTGTTTTTTTGAATAAAACATACTTTTGCCTAACTATCTGTTATTTGTAGCTTATAGTTAGCTAGTTATTTTTTAGGTAGAACCACTGATATAGAAGATTATCACAAACACTTTCTCTTTTCATTATCAACTCTGTGCCCTTGTAAAAAGACTACCTTTTCAAGCCAAGTCTACATATGAATCGTATGTAAATCATTACTCTGGGCCAACAGTAAAGCAGTAAGTCATGCTTGAATATTTTGAAGCTGATGGGTTAGTATAAGTATAAGTTTATTTCGACTCCATAATCAGCAATAGACGATAAAATAATTGATAAAAACAAAATAAATAAAACTGATTATAGAATCGGGAAAGCAAACGAAACCTCAAGTAAGGTTTAAAACGTATAGATTTTAGGTGGGAAGTTATTGATAAAAGTAGTAGCACGTGTTCGCTTACCCAAAAGATAAAAACTAATTAAGGCACGCACGCACACACACACAATCATCGAGACTGAGACATGATAAGTCGGTAGTGAAAAATATACAGATACGGATATACAGATATACCAATGACATTATATCTTAGACTGTATAAAAAAAGACAAATATATCTGTATATTATAATACGATTGAATAATTTACATACCTGACTCCTGTATTATCGACGAGAAGTCAAATTGAAAAGAAATGATGCCGGGTGAGTGTCTCAGCCCAGAAATGGTTACTTCGATCTGTGGAATTTATTAGGGTATTGTATAATAACACAAAACTTTTAATTATAACAGGAAATATTATATTCCTGTATTCAGATTGCAATATGTATCATTATAGACCCAAGCCATTAATAATCTAAACAATGAAACAAGTTTTTTCACTTGCAGACTTGCGAGTAACTGGTTTTACATGTGACTGTGTGATGCCACAAGAAAATGAAAACATGTATTTATTTGCAAGATCAAACCACAGCTTAATATGGGAATCAATGAATCATGATCTGAAATTTTTCGTCCTCCAACTGTTTAAAATCATAATATTACAGTATTACCACTAATAATCATTCGTTGAACTATGATTGTATGAATGGAATCTTTATGTTATGATACCAGATTCAGAGATTAGATCAAGTACCATACTGGGACATATATAGCTGCAGCCAGAATGGTTTAATTACTGAAATAGTAACCCAATTTTGGATCCTATGACGTTAAAATTCCACAAAATTGAACGAAATATTACTTACCGGTACCAATTCCCTTTACAGCAAAACTTCTGTTTTTTACGCGACTTTCTTCTCGAGATTATGCGCTTTATATAACAAATATGCGTGGTGAGCAGATTGAAATTCGCCGGGTAGGTAGGTTAGCAGGATTCTATATCCTGCTATACGTACACGAAATTGTCAAATTCGCAAAAAATCGATACGAACACTTAATTCAGCGTCCTTACTGGTCAACTAGTGCAGCCAGAATAAAATATTGCGCCATCGATCCGCAATCGAGAGAGTAATAAGAGACTACCCCGCAGGCGAAAAAAGTTATTCATGTTGAATAAATTTAGGACTGAAGCTATTGTTGATCGTACCAACCCACGCTGGAAACGTGAATTGAATAAATAAATATGTATTTCGAAATGCGTTGTTGCCATGAAGTGCCGGTATGCTGGCATATTTGCGGTCCTCGTCCGGCATATCGCTATCCAATCGTGAACACCTCACTGCCTTTTAATACGCACAATTCAAAAAGTTACGTCATCGGGGATAATTTTGGAACAACACGTCCTGGAACGATAGTGGCATTTATGTGGTGCCACAACACGGGAAAAGTGCCACGTACTCTGATTATATTAAAATTAATTATTCTGTTCTTCAAACAGATTAACAGAAAGTATATTTATTAAAACAAGTTGTTTTACTTGATTTGTTCGATTCACTACCGCACGGTACGGTATATTATTCAATGTAAAACTGAAGAGTGACATTTATATTCTGCCACTGACGTCGGATATGTTTCAAAAGAGTACTGTACTGTTTGCTTAGTCCAGTAGATCAGCTTAGAATCTTAGATGTTAACTTAGCAACGGGTGCAATTGTTCGGCATGGATGTCTCAGATTCTACTGACTGTCCATGTGTTGGTTCAATGGGGCTGCATCAAAATAACTTATTGTACGGACAGCAAGATAGTTTGCCTGGGAACAGTTTTACGGGACTTGGATTTAATCTCAGTCAATTAAAAAGCCGCAGTGTTATTGACGTGTTTCGCGGAATGAGAGACAGATATTTTGGAAAACCGGAAAGCCAGGCACACGAACTAATTCGAAAATGTGGCGATAAAGAATCTCTTAAAGGTAAGTCTATGCTGCTATGAGTTACACCATATAGGCTACCAGGTCTGCAGGTAGGCCTATACTTGATAGGATAGGATATACATATTTATCCCGGGGGAGAGGAAAGCCGATAAGACGGCTTATCCATATGGCAAACCACGGCCTCTCGTCCGGTTACCATTCCAAGTCGGGTATGGGATTAGTTATATTGTTTGTTTTCGGAAGCATGGACTTGGTGGTGGAGGAAGCCGTAACCGACCAGCGGTTACGTGAACCACCCAACGACGGCGAGGAGTCCAGCAATCCTCTCGCACATAACCATCCCTGCATGGAATTTGAACCTGCGAACCCACGCAGAGTAGCCTAATTAGAGGTGCGGTGGCGAGCGTATTCCTAACGCTTAGCCCGTTGAGCCACACCGCCGCGCCGCGCCACACACTGATATCACAGTGCTGCAATATCATAATACCTAGGCTACTTCTGTAATCGTCGTGCAGCAATAAGCATAAATAATAATGCTGTTTGTCATGTCATCGAGCAATATATTGTCCAGGATATATAGACTACTGTAATTTGAAAATGCTATTAAAATATACCATATATATATTAATGTCTATACATACTACAGAACTAAATGATATATTTTTTTATTTCAAGGAATAGAAGAAGAAAATCAATTTGCATCGTCAATAGACGCATTACCTGTTTACTGTAAACTGATCATTCTTTCATTTCTGGACACACAAGATGTGTGCAGTGTTTCATCGGTTAATAGTCAATGGAGAGAGATTGCTAATGATCAAATATTATGGAGAGAACTTTTGATAAGAGATATGTGTAAGTGGGATAGTATGACGAATAAAAGTCATCCGCTGATTTCACAAGTTTGGAACAATGATGCTTTAAAAGAGTCATCTATTGGTATAAGTTTTGTAAACTTATTACATGAACAAAGCACTCAGACTAATTTAAGTACAAATAATGGGTTGGTACAATCTCAGAATATGAAAAATGAAACTGATAAAAAAACAGATATTCACGCAAAAAGGGGCATTAATTTTAAAGCCCTTTATATTCATTCATCTTTCCAAAGAGCGCAGGATGATTCAGAAGAAGTGTCATATAATTTGTCTATACCTGGTTTTATAAAATCACTGTGGCAAGGAGGTGTTGCTCCTGAGCAGGGTGAGATTATAATGACTGGTCCAGGAATGGATTCACCGAGAACAAGTAAAATTTTTCGAGCTCTGATGTGGGGCAGCAACTTTCTTGAAACGAAAGGTCTGCTGGCCGGAAATAGAGATGGCATTGGATCTGGTGTACAATTACTTTTCAAGGAAAAAATTCCTTTCAATTTGATTGCATTATACTCTGGTAACAATCGTGTTAGAGAAAATCGTGCTGGTATGGAAAGACTTCTTCACAGCAATGTTGTCGAGCCGGTGAGCAGTGGTGAAAATGTTGATGTTGGACATCATGAAGAACACCTTCCCCAGTTTGTTTTATATGATGCTGTTCGATTTTATATAGCTGAAAGAAAAGGTCATTATAAACTAGTTTATGTTGTAGATGCAACACTCAAACAGAAATGGGATGATATTGCATGCAATATATTAGAACTTTCTGCCATTCTTAGAGGCGCAGAGTTCGATAATATTATAAATAATGCTCTTGGAGTTCCTATAGTTGATCTGGAACTGGATGGAGCTGATCATCCAGAGGAACATGGGAATATCAATGTAGAATCAAATGCAGTGACTCCATCAGCTGGCAGTTTGCCATTTGCGCCAAAAAGACCTTTGTTGATTCTTTCATGTATTGCGGAGCCAGATGTTGAAAGATTTTCTTGTATGCAAATTACCGCAATGTTAGGTCTTCCTGATGTAAGTGACAGACAATGGAGGGTACAGGATGTTATTGTTTCTACAATGCATGGTGTAGAAAAGGGATTGGAGTGGTTACTTCGGCAAACTTGATATAATTTAGAATAACTGAATGATTTTAATTTACCTAAATGGTATCAGAGCATTTCAGCAATCTTTCTTATTTTATCAGAAATATTTGACTATAAATTAAACTATTTGATTTGAAATACTTTCATCTGTATGTGATTTTTCTCATATGAACCATATATTTGTGCATTTTTTATTGCTCAAATAGTTTATATTATCCAATCTCATTTTTACTGTGTTTAGCCTTACAATGAGTTCCACCACTAACATGGACATCTCATGCAAATTTATGAAAAAACAATCTCATTTTTTAAAAGTGCTAACTATTTTTCCAATGCAATTTTGAATAATATAACAAAGTTTCATAGGCCATGGTCTAACAGCTGTTAAAGTATTTTAACTCTTCACTGTGATGGTTTGAAGATTTTGTTTCATGGTTTGCATCAAAATTTAAAAATCCCTAGATGTGCTGCTTAGAATGTACCTGTCTGCTTCTAGAATGTTCACTTTTAATGAGAATGTAGGATTGTTTGGGTGATTATGTCTGAAGTGCCTCCCTGACTTGAGATTGGTGATCACCTAATGAGAGATTATAATTCAAATGTCATATTGTCAGCTTGGCTTTACTGATTTTTATAAACCATATCGACTTTTTATAATAATATGTTTATCACTCTTATTGAAACACTAGCTTGTATTTTTAGTTATGGCATCTGGTGCAGAAAATCACACTTCGAAACTTCCAATCTGCAATTATAATATGATCCTGTCACAGTAACCAACTCTTCTCCTATTGAAAATATTTTCTATGCAATTGTGATGTTTGTAATTGATATATGAATACTTCAGTGCTGTTAGGTACTAACAGTAGAAAAATAATTTGCTATTTGGAGATTACCATTGTTTTAACATGCTTAATTTTGGCCCTTTTTCGTTGTACTTTAAGCTCTTTATACTGTTTGGCATGCATCGATATATACTGTTGATTTAATAACAAATATTAATGTATAAGATTTATGGTTTTGTATTAGTCCTTGGGCGTGGAATTGGGACAATGAATATTCCAACGATTTGTTTGATAAATCGCCATGTTCAAGGTAGAGGGTCTATCATCAATTTTCAGTAATGACAGAAAGTGTGAACCATTTATTGCCATTTTATCAAATGCGATGAGTATGAGATATCAGTATAAACCGTGAGTGTTTTGAAGTTTAAACGGTGATTTTTCTTACTGTGTTGGTCGGGCTACAGTAGTCGCATGCGGCCTTCTTAGTTTTTCATTCATGAGTGGACCAGACAAGGTTATAATTAATATTCAGTTCAATTGAGGTCATGCGTGAGACGTTTCGTTAATTAATGAAATATCTTTATATCTCATTCACGTGATCGATCGGAATTGGCGACAACCTCTATTTTCTAATGTACATTTAAATATTTATTACGTTGTTGTTCAACTTTCGAACCCCAGAATGGGTAGGTAGTATAGGTCGGCCACCGGTTTAACAGTACGGGATGTTGGAAGCCATTGGGTTATCGGCGCTGTAAAGCAGGGGCGGACACCCGGGGGGGCGAGGGGGGGCGGTCGCCCCCCCAATAATTTCGCAAAAAAATTTAATACATGTTGTTTCCGTCTTACAAAATTATCATTTCCGAAAAGTGCGATAGTCAAGCGCAATTAAACGGTTATTAGTTACCGATATTATAACTGTTTTCTTACAATAATGCGCCTTCGGGGCACCTCACATTTTCGTGAAACATGCGCGCCCGCACGGGTAATACTCCGTCTTCAAACGCACCGCCGATCACGCGCCACGGTTTTGCACAACTAATTCATTTTTGTACAATTTAATATGATTTTCTCATTGTCAAAATCTTTCAATAGTGTTATTGTTGGCACTTGCGAAAGAAGTGGGAGAGGCAAACTGTGTTTCATTACAACAATTAATTATTATCGCTAAAAAATTAACTAGATCTAAAGTTGTTATAAACAATTTTCACCGCGGGACGTAGCTTTTTACGTTATGGATTTTGTGCAAGGCCCAGCATAATTTGCGGGCATTTACTATGTCGAAAAGTTGAAAAGCGGCAATATAAAATACTAAAAATAAAACTGTAAACAATATAAGTTTTGAGGCCCGCGACAGTCTAAAAACGCTTTTCTAGGCATCGAAAATCGCAAAATTTCGTGTGCCAACGGCAGAAATTATGTTTGCTTGACCTTAAAAATATTTCGTCACTAAAATCGAAACACGGTCAATTGTGAGCGGGATTTGCCTTTTTATCCATTACTTTTAAATTGACGTCAAATTTTCGTGTTAACATTAAACAAAGCTGAGAACGCGACTTTTCCACGGTTTGTGATGATATATAAGATAATTGAAGTATATTCGATCACTTTTTGTATTTATTTATGTATTTTTATTGTACTGAAATAACTTTTACTACGTGAGAATTGACAGAAAATTTACGGATTTTTCGAAAGGTTTTATCTTTAAAAATATTCGGAGTGACAACATTGCGATTGAGCGGAGCCAGTGTGACAAGTACATCTCAAATTCATCGAATGCGCAAAATAGCAAAAATACGGATCAAAACAATATATAAACGGGCAGTTTACCACACATTTTTATGTCCGCGGATTGCCGTCGTGTTTTAGAGTGGCCCTTGTTTTGTCGACTCAAACGCAGTTTAAATTGAAGACAATTAAATTAATAAATCAAGAAATTTTGAATATGCCCGTATCGGTCTTTGATTGATTACTTTGCACAAGTGAAAAATCATTTTTCGTTGATGAAGTCGGCTCTTTTAACAAGTGGCGTAATCGCGGCGTTTCGCGTGGATTTCGAGGCGGTGAATTTGTATTTTTGGTTTACTGGTATACTTTATAATTATTTTCATTGTATGAATTAAAATTGTACTATATGGGATTTTATATCAGATATCGAGATTTTTGTAACGACGATAACGACTGGGCTAATTCTCGCGGAATTCAAGAAATTGGTTCAGTGACGCGCAAGTTCCGTGTCCGAGCAAAGCAGCCTAGGTAATCGATATATGAGTAGCAAAATGACATGCTAATACTTAGAGAATGACATCGACAGGTTATTGTTACGTGACGATACACGGCGCGGTGTTTTTCGGTAGGCGATCCAAGTTCGCCCCCCCAAAATTATGGAAAGTGTCCGCCCCTGTTGGTAAGCAATTACGGTAGTTTAGCGTTAGTTTGGAGAGTAGTTTGGATACATGCGAAAGTAATTTAGGCTCTGTACCTGCTTTCGCCCTCTGTTATTATCAGCTTCACAACAAAAAAGTACGGAAATTGGCTTGAATTGTTAAAAATAACAAGGCGCTGCTTTTCGTGTATATAGAGCTTCCGGAATGCCTAACAATTGTCCAAAGGTATTTTATGGCCACCTTGCAAAACTTAATTTATATCGAAATATTGTCGATTGCAATCAAGCACGGGTATAAGAAGTAGGAAGGCGGGTATTGAGGACCATTACGTATTTCACCTATTCAAAAAGTGCCACGTGGCCACCAAACCATAATTGTCCGGAACATTTTGGTCACGAGTGTTGAAGTAAAGCAATTCCCGCCAATTTCATTTTCTTTATCATATGCCCCCCAGTCGAAACAAAAAAGGCAGCGACGTCACAAGTGCCACGTTGCAAAAATATATTAGAGAAATAAACGCGCTTTTAGTTTCATGTAATCTTTGCTCGGAAAAATTGGAAAACAAACGCATCTATGTCAAAGACCAATGGGAAATAGCTTAAATTTTTTCTTTTATTTTTGTCGACAGGCCAATGGAAAAACGAAAAAATGAAACTGCATTCATGAATAATCACTATAACGAGGAAAACTAATTTCCCGTCATGAGACAACAATGAAATGAGACACGCCGGAAATTCAATTGGTTATAGAAATATCACAGATTAGTCAATTTCGTTGTACGTTATGATGTTGTCGTCGTACCGATCAGTCAGTCAAATGCAGCACTACTAAAACGAGAATAGAAAGAGAAAGAGGAAAATGCTCGAGCGCCAAAACAAAACTCATTCGCGATGTCAAGAATCCATTCCTTGTCATGGTCACATGATACAATATAATTTATACCGCTGCGGTACAAAAACCCACTAAGGAGAACTCGCTGCCGACCTTCGTTTACGACGGGCCACATTATATTTTACCATGAAAGGGGCCTATCTTGCTCGGAATTAACTCGTTTTATATTTAACACCCACTAACGAAGGAAATTATTTTAAGTGTTAAGTTTTTATATAATTGCAACTTTGTGTAAAAATATAGACTAGATTTTGTCACCGCAATGTAGGCCTAAGTCTTTTCATTACTCTTAGTCCCCAACATAAAAAATAACGTTGTTTGCTCCCAATTCATTTCATAATATGTAAACAAAGAATGTACATTTTCGGCTGGTGACGTAACCTCGTAACTTCACTACTTTGGACATGAAACCCGCGCGGTCCTGTCTTCTACCAATGCGTGTAAAAAGAGCAAACAACTACACGCAGCCAATTCAGCCAACTTGGGTGTGTGTCATCTAACAAAGGAAGAAGACAATGATATCGATGAAACAACACGCAGAGTTGGCCATACGTTGCTCAACAAAGATTTATTGGTTATCCTAAAACTTTACTTACTGTGTGTGGGCGGAAGCTAATTTGCAGTTTATTACTCAACACGTGTTCAGTTTAAGTTCGTTTGATATTGTGTCCTGGTTATATTTTGATATATTTAGCGGCCAAAATGTTACAACATGGGATCATCAGCGGTAGTTCGATAAAAATATCTGATTACAGAATGAGGTAATGTTCCATTTATGTTAGACACAAAATTGGCCATTCTTGAATAGTGACTGAATTGATTTTCCAATATTTGTGTTGCGGCCTTGGGCAAAGAAATAGCGCCGATGATTATTATTGATTTACTTTTATCATTTTATATATTCATCCCTTTATTCTATATTATCGTAAGCTCTGTAAATAGATGACGCAACCCAAATTTACTTTGACCGCTTGAATAAAAACAAAGCTCAAAGTCGATAAAAAGGGCCAAAGGTTAAAATTTCACAAAACGACATACCTCAAGATTTTTTTTCAGATACATTCGTTAATGAACCTATACTTTTATATTTTCAGGTGAATTAAAATGATGAAATGATAAATGGAATAACACTTTTGAACTTACATCAGTAATATTAAAAATGCTATAACTTTCGCTATTTCAATTTATATAAAAATTTCAGCTATAGAATGGGGTGGATGATTCCTTGTTCGCAGTAACTGACAACTGACAATATTACTGAGAGGTATTTTCTAGCCCACAAGTCTGATCCACATTTGCTACCAGTTTTGCAGTTAGTTAGGGGGCAATTGATGGGCTACGACTTACCAACGCCTGCAAAGCCCTTTATGTTCCTAAAAATTTTAGTCATATTAATAATTTGTAACGTTTTAACACCAACCGTCTTGACTGAATTATGCGAAACTACGTTCTTCCACTCGATATCTATTTGCTTCAATGTCTTTACACTGTGCACACAAACGTTGGTTTAGATTACGTTTCATATTAACAGTATTTGGAATATGAATTACACAAAACCAATGCGCCAACTTCTAATACGGAAGAAATATAAATATTGGGACAATTAGGTCACCATTTTGAAAATTTCGAAATATAAGTGTGTGGCGCCTATCTTAATTATTAAATATGTTTGTTGAAAACAACCATGTTTTTGCTAAAGACAATTGCGTGAGAGCATATTGTATTATTAAATTAATAAAAACGTGTTCGAAGGTCACCTAGGTAAACTATTGAAGATATTATATGCCGAATCTATACCCCCTCGAACATTCTAATAATAGATTATGATGTAATTGAAGAAACTTTTTCTCGTATCTGATCAGTTAGCGTATGACCGAACATGGCCGACACTGAAAACATTGAAAAGTCTACTGTTTACGTCAAACACCTGGTCGTTGTTCAATATACGTT